CTCAAGCGAGTCTCCTGCCTCCGCCTCCCAAGCAGCTGGGACCACAGGCGCCCGCCACAACGCCCGGCTATTTTTTGGTTGCAGCCGTCATTGTTGTCTGGAGGGTCCGGGTTGGGGATTTGAACCCGCCACCTTAGGTGTACGTGGCTGGCGCCTCAGCCGGTTGAGCTATAGGCGCTGAGCCAGCCCAAGAGTTTGAGACCAGCTTGGGCAGCATAGTGAGACTCTGCTTCTATGAAAATATTAAAAAATTAGACAGGCATCGTGGTGGACACCTCTAGTTCAGGGTACTCAGGAGGCTGAGGTTGGAGGATTACTTGAGCTCAGGACTTGGAGGCTTCAGTGAGCTGTGAAGACACATCACTATATCTAGCCTGGGTGACAGAATGAGACTCTGTCTCCAAAAAACAAGTACTCTCAATATATGAGAAATGGTTATTCTTATTTTTCCTGTGTTTGTCACTTAATTATACATATATATAATTTAAAGCAATAGTACATAATCATCTTGGAGAAGCTGGAAAATGCAGATTAAACATGCACACACCCATGGGATCTCCGGCGCAGGTTTCAATCCCCTCGTCTCACCTGATGAAGGGGCGTGATATAGCCAGCACAGTCCGGATGAACCAGGAAGGGTGGACAATGATCAAAGACTTCAGGTTTTTCCGTAATCTGTGTAGGGAGGCAAAGGAAGCAAGATGGGCTCCTGGGATAACCCTGGGGAGGGAAGGGTCTGGGAAGGGAGAAGAGCAGGGAGGAAGAGCCACATGCAAGCCTTTGGCACTCATTGGCTCATTCTGCATGTAGTGTCAGGTACTATCAGACCTCTGCTCAAATCCTTGTCCCAAAAGAGTCATAGGTTCCATGGCAGAATAAAGACACACCTTTTGGTCACTATGACCATAGGGGGTAGGTAGGGGGTGAGTGGGGGGTTAAGGGGGGAGGGGGCTAGGGAGAGATTCTTGCACGTGGTACAGGGTAAGCAAATCAGGTACGCAGTTTTCGAATCAGCATGTCCTCTAACTAGGGTGTAAGGATGTGACAGCTGGCTCAATTTAAAAAATCATTCTTGGCTTGGCTCCTGTAGGGCGCCTGCCTCATACACCAGGGTTAGCAGGTTTGAACCTGACCCAGGCCTGCTAAATAACAATGACAACTACAACAAAAAAATAGCCAGGTGTTGTGGCAGGTGCCTGTAGTCTCAGCTGCTTGGAAGGCTGAGGCAAGAGAATCACTTAAGCCCAAGAGTTTGAGGTTGCCGTGAGCTGTGACGTCAGAGCACTCTACTGAGGGCAACATAGTAAGACTCTGTTTCAGGAAAAAAAAATCATTCTGGGGCTATTCACAATAGTCAAGAGGTGAAAACAACCCAACTGTCTGCTGACAGATGAATTGGCAAACAGAATGTAGTGTATCCATACTATGGAATATAATTCAACCTTATAAAAGAAGGTAATTCCAACGCATGCTCCAGGACAGAGGGACCTGGAGGACACGATGCTCAGGGAGAGAACCAGACACCAAAGGACACATCCTGTGTCATTCCACTCACAGAAGGTCCCTAGAGTCCTCAAAGTCCCAGAGACAGAAAGTAGAATGGTGGTTGCCAAGGGCTGGGGAAGGGGTTGGGAGTTAATGCTCCATGGGGACAGAGTTTCAGTTGGGGAGGATGCGAAAGTTCTGGAGATAGAGGGTGGTGAAAGCTTCACAGTAATGTGAGCGTGCTTGATGCCGCTGAGCTGTGCACTCACAGAATGTGAACTTGTTTATTTATTTATTTATTTATTTGAGACAGAATTTCAAGCTGTTACCCTGGGTAGAGTGCAGTGATATCATAGCTCACAGCAACCTCCAACTCTTGGGCTCAAGCTATCCTCTTGCCTCAGTTTTTTTTTCCAATCACCACTCCTGACTTGGAATGTGAACTTATTTAAAAATAGGGTCCTTGGAGCCTGGCAAGGTGGCTCATGCTTCTAATCCTAGCACTCTGGGAGGCTGAGGCAGGAAGATTGCTTGGGCTCAGGAGTTCGAGACTTACCTGAGCAAGAATGAGACCCAGTCTCCACAAAAAGCAAAAAACCCAGCTGGGTGTCATGGCCTGTGCCTATAGTCCCAGCTACACAGGAAGCTAAGGCAGCAGGATCCCTGCAGCCCAGGAGTGTGAGGCTACAGTGGGCTATGACGCCACTGCACTCTGCTTTGGGCACAGAGACTCCATCTCAATGAAAAAAAAAAAAAAAAAGGCAACTGCATGCATCTCAAAATCTCTACCTCCTCAAATCCCCCATTTCATATAGAAAATAGGGTCCTTGGAAATATAATCATGTGAGTTTGTTTATTTATTTATTTAGAGACAGAGCCTCAAACCATCGCCCTGGGTAGAGTGCCGTGGCATTAAAGCTCACAGCAACCTCCAACTCCTGGGCTTAAGCAATTCTCTTGCCTCCCAAGTAGCTGGGACCACAGGTGCTTGACACAACATCTGGCTATTTTTTGGTTGTAGTTGTCATTGTTGTTTGGCAGGCCTGGGCTGGATTCGAACCCACCAGCTCTGGTGTATGTGGCTGGCGTCTCAGCCGCTTGAGGTACAGGCCCTAAGCCAATTATCTGAGTTTAGATGATATCACCCTGGGGTAGGGTGGACCTTTAATCCAGTATGACTGGTGTCCTTATAAAAAGTAGAAATTTGGGCTCGGCGCCTATAGCTCAACTGGCTAAGGCGCCAGCCACTACACCTAAGGTGGCGGGTTCGAATCCCCAGCCCGGACCCGCCAAACAACAATGACGGCTGCAACCAAAAAATAGCCGGGCGTTGTGGCG